AGGTACGTCCCTTTTTGTTTCGCGGTACAAGGACATGATTGGGACATCCAGGGGATGTCCTGCAGTGGTTGTCCAGTGGACATCCCGCCCGGTACATCCCTAGGTTATCCTATTCGTGTCCTTGGAGTATCTTATATCCATTCACATCAGAGTTATTGAATTTCATCAAACTATTGAGTTGAATTTTCTCGAAAATGTTTGTTTCTCTTCCGGAAAATGATTGTTATGAAAATAGAGAATAAAGTCTCAGAACTTCTCAAGAAATTACCATTTTTCGCAGACAGAAATCGTACATGCATAATGCCCCTCATTTTTATACACCCAAGAATGATAATAATATTAATAATTATACCCAATTCCTAATGAAGTTGTATTCATTCAGGTTTTTCTCAAGTTAAGGCTGTTTATAAATCTGTTTAGTACATAAATCTTCAGGAGGCATGATAGCCAATGGAGCAAGGTGCGTGCATGATAAGCCAAAGGTCCCGGGTTCAATCCCTACTCGACCTGCAACTTTTTTTCTTCTGTCGAAAGGATGTCCCTGGGATATCCCTTCATCGTACTTAGTACATCCCAGGAACGCACCAGAAGGACATCCCTTGGATGCCTTTTTTAGCGGCCAGCGGATGTCCCTGGGACATCCCTAGTATGTACGTTGTCCCGACAAAGGACATTCCTGGGATGTCCTAGTATATGATCAGGGACGTCCCTGGGAAGTCCCTAGGATGTACTGGTGTTGTTAGGGTACTTACGAAATCGTGGCGTCAGTTTTTACTGGCGGTAAAAGACCCCGCACGAAAACAAGGAAATTTGGCTCTCGATCGAATTGGTTGAAATTATACTATGTTATTGTGGGATGGCTCATTGAAGAAATATGTGAGTTTGAAAAGTTTTGTATGTTTAGTTTCTGAGATATAAGCCGCCAAAGTTCGTAAACACGTCGTATCGGGGTCGTTGGATTGACAAAGAAAAAAACAGTTTTTTTAGTATGAATGAGACAAAATTAGCTAGAAAATGTATTGATCAGAACTCAAATACATGTCTAGTTATGATCACATAAATTAAAGTAAATCAGGGTGTATACGAGGCACGGTCAAAAAATTCATTTTTTGGAATAAAAATTCGAGCACTATTCCAAAAACAACAAGTTATATTTTGGTGAGACATTATAGTTTCAGTTTATTGTAGGCTTCGAAAACGTATTTTCATTCTTGATAATTATCTCTGTTCGAAATATATGAATGCTTTGAATTTTGTGTTATACCCATTCTGGAAAACAATTAAGAGCTTGTTTTTGATCACAAAAAAAAGGATTGATTGAACCTGTCGATTTGATGAAAGCTGAGGTAACTCACTAGCGAATTCAGTTGTTCAATATTGCTTTTCATTTAGATACAGAGGGTGTGTTAGATTGATGTTTGATCCATACTGTTGAGTTTCATATTGTTATTCAATGTGGTTCGTGTTAATTATAGTGAAAATTTATTGATTTCTAATAGTTTCATATAATGTAATTGAATGTTCGAAAAATTCTCTGAAGTTCTGTTGAATCGATAGTAATATCCGAGGTAATAACCCCATAATAACTGTAATACTGTAAACTCAAAAATTGATATCTCAGAAACGAAACATCAAAAATTGAAAAACTTCCTGCATATGATAGTCACCATATTCAAAATAGTGTCAGCAAAATGAGATCCAAATTAACGGAAATGTTTTAGAGATTTTCAATTGAAACATGTTAAATAATCTTCAACAAAATCTAACACACTCTGTATCTAAATGAAAGGCAATATTGAACAACTGAATTCGCTAGTAAGTCACCTCAGCTTTCATTCAATCAACAGTATCAATCAATCCCTTTCTTTGTGATCAAAAACAAGCTGTCAATCGTTTTCAAAAAGGGGTGTAACACAGAATTCTAAAAATTCATATTTCGAACAGAGATAGTTATCAAGAATCAAAATACGTTTTTGAAGCCTACAATAGACTGAAACTATAATGTCCCACCAAAATATAACTTGTTGGTTTTGGAATAGTCCTCGAATTTTTTTTTCCGAAAAATAAATTTTCTGACCGTGCCTCGTATACACCCTGATTTACTATAACTTATGTGATCATAACTAGACATATATTTGAGTTCCAATCAATACATTTTCTAGCTTATTTTGTCTTATTTATACTAAGAAAACAGTTCTTTTCTTGGCAATCCTACCCCGATACGACGTTTTTACGAACTTTGTCGGCTTATATCTCAGAAACTAAACATACAAAACTTTTTAAACTCACATATTTGACTAATGAGCCATCCCACAACAACATAGTGGAATTTCAGCCAATTCGACCAAGAGCCAATTTCCCGTGTTTTCGTGCGGAGTCCTTTCTAGCCGTTTGAAAATTACCGTGGCATTATTGATGATTTCAGCACCTAAAAATCGACCAAAATATTCTTGGAAATATGGAATTGAAAGGTATTTGTGTGATGATTCTATTTAAGAAATAAAAAAAAAATAATCCACTCGCCTATTATTTTCTCAAATATCTATCACTCATCGAATTCTCTTTCTGGGAGAGGAAATTCGCATTGAAGAAAAAAGGTGTTCTAGAGCTCCAGGCCAGCAGACAATCAAATTATTCCACACGAAAACCTTCGGTCAAGCAGTAAATTGAACAGCACCCCTGACTTTGATTTTCTGAATTGCATTATTCACAATGTTTTCTTGAGTTATCTTCATAAGGACTTTATATTTTCGATCCAATTATGAATCACAGAAGATATTCCACAGTGGATGATTCACAGATTCGTTCATAGTCTGAAGTGATACTCACCAACTCCAGGTTAACATGTGGAAGAAGAAAATGATTCATCAGAAGAGGAAGAAACAGACTAAATAAATGTATGCGAAGGTCCTAGACTGTCATTCCATCCAGATTGAACCATTGAAAATTTTCAAATTGTACAAGGGTTCAAGATATCCCTTGGTATAGAGGTATTTTGAATCTTCATACAACGGTCTACAGAGTGACCCATTTGAAAGCGGGACACCCCTGTATCTCACGTAATCGTTGAGTAAGGATCATGAAATTTGCTGGAGCGAGAGATATACCAAAAATGCACTCTATAACCGAGTGGGGTCATCTTCAGTGATATACACTGCTCGCCAACAGCCATGGAACCACCCCAATTTCCTGAAAATGATATTAGGAGTCAAAATAGGTTGAAAATCACTTCGGATTCGGAATCAGGACGCCCAATTCACTAACTATTCATATTTTTCCTTGAAAATTTTCAGTTCTGAAACATTACATTTTGTCGCACTTTTCATGGAAGCGCACCCCCGTATCTCACGTAATTATAGTGGTAGGGTTCTAAAATTTGCAGGAGGAACGGAAAGTCCAAAGATGAAGTCAATTACGTGAGATACGGGGGTGCTTCCGTGAAAAGTGCGACAAAATTTAATTTTCCAGAACTGAAAATTTTCATGGAAAAATATGAAGAGTTAATGAATTGGGCGTCCTGATTCCGAATCCGAAGTGATTTTCAACCTATTTTGACTCCTAATATCATTTTCCGGAAATTGGGGTGGTTCCATGGCTGTTGGCGAGCAGTGTATATCACTGAGGATGACCCCACTTGGTCATAGAGTGCATTTTTGGTATATCTCTCGCTCCAGCAAATTTCATGATCCTTACCCAACGATAACGTGAGATACAGGGGTGGCCCGCTTTCAAATGGGTCATTCTGTATATATTTTTTGATTCGGTTGAACTATATTCGCAGAGAGGAGTCGGAAGATTCAAATTTCATTGGAATCAACACCAGAGACATGTCTGAAATCACTGAGAGTTAACGTCGAGATGCATTCTCAAAATACCAGATGTATAGCCTCCATCTGATTCGACAGCACTGAGAATCACCCAATGAAACGATTGGTTGTTTTTGAAAACTCTATATGGATTGAAAAGTCGTATCTAATCGAGAACAAAACTTGGCGATAAGGGAACTCGATTTCAAGAAAACTAATAGTGACACCTATGCATCATCTTTTCCATTATAACAAATGTGGAAATTCTAGTAGTCACGTTGACGAGAAATGAATTTCAGATGAATTAATTTAGATAGGCTTGAAGAAGTTATGTTTCTGTATGCACTAGCAGGCGGTAAAGTGCACTTTATCGCCCATATTTGCGGGCGTAAAGTAGTACTTTACCGCCCGCGGGTCCATTTTCGCCCACGGGCCATAAAGTGCACTTTACCGCCCGCTGTTCTCAAGTCCCTTATATTCGCACATCCATTTGTGGAATACCCATATTTTAACTCTCAGCAGATGCTATCGTTATTATTATGATACATGTCATATTGTTCATCCGGTTCCATCTTCGCTATAACTTCCTTCCTTGAATAGTTGCTTTCTGGCTGTCTGAAGTTTTTAGCGAAAAGACAATTTCAGCTTGTTTTTTGGATGTATTGCTAGACAGCAAGACAGCAACCATCAGATTGATTGACAACGTCAAATTTAGGTAGCTATATACTGGGTATACTTACATATTGTTACATCTCAAGGAATGAATCTCTGTCAGTTAACGAATAGTTTTACTCTTACGATAATTGCGATATTCGTACAGTATATATGTAGATTATACACATAAACATTGCGCTTCTCTTGAAAACTGAATTTATGAGTGACATGTGAGTTGTAGTTTGTTGAAATCTAGTCATCACTTGTGACTCGGTAAATAAACCACTAGTGCCTAAAATTTTGAATGTATGACGTGCGTAAAATTTCTTTATGGCCTTCAGCGTGTAATGGCCCTCGGCTAGTGCCATCGGTCCATTATTTGCGCCACAGGCCATAAACGCCTAGTTTACGCCCTTCATACATAAATAACTATTATGGTCATACTCAGATTCTCTGTGTGATAGCCCATATCTGCTGACCTTGAAGCTCTAATACTCCTTCTTTATTACAGTTTGATAAATATTTCTACTATCTACTCACCCAATTCTTTTTTGTACCTCTGTTGCTCTTCTTTATTCGTCTTATATCTCAAAGTATTATCCACACATCTCCTCAAATCTTTACTACCGAACTGAAACCTCAAAATTGGATCTTCTCTTGTCCTAGTGATCGTTTTGCCACTGCTGAAAACAGGTGCTCCCCCTCCTCCTCTACCAAGGTCGAAATTTCCGACGAAACGTTTGGCCTAGAAAAACAATCAATTCAAATCTCTGGAATCAAAGTGGAATAAACCAAATAACCAAAATAGTTCAAATCAACGAAAATGGTAGATAATGAGAGGAAACTATCTACTCTCCTGGCTATATACCACGCAGAACATTGAATTACCTCCTGCCGAAATCTATGCAATGATTCGTAAAGACGGATGCAGATGCAAGTGGTTCTTTCCTAAATGCTGAGTTGTGCTTAAATTGTTCAGGAACGCTTGACCACCTACAGCTTGGTTTGTTTTGAGTGTCTCCAGATGGCATTCATGAGCGCCATCTGGTGCGAATCGGAACCAATGTGAACACATCCCAGTATTTAATACCCATGAGGCATTCGGCATCCGCGAGATGGACACGAAAGTGAAATATTGAGTATCAAAGTGACAATACATGAAACTCAGAATTTTCTCGAGAACATGAGCTGTTTCTAACCCATGTGAAATCTTAACATGTTCGAATGATCCACTGAAGGTTTACTCACTAATGATTTCGAGTTTTCTTCATTGCTTACACTCAAATGTCAACTCACGTTTTTATAATCATTGTTGGGAAAAATTTCTTCTAATCTGAGGTTCCGTAAACCTCTCGGTTTGGCATCTAGCCCCTCTCCCCATGGCCAATGAAGTTCCAGCATATCCTTCATCTGAAATAGGTAGAAAAATATGTGTCATATTATCCATAATAATAGTCACTTATAGTCGACGGTGAGTGCTGGATATTTACTATATCATTCTTATAGCGCATTTGGGAAAATGTAACAGCCTACTCCAATGGAATTATCTCATCTCATTTAAAAGTTATTCATTTACAACTCAATGTCTTTCATAAATCATCCTTCAATATGGTTTGGACTCTTTTCTGTTTCACTCTGAATGGATTGTCTTCAATTCAACTTCAAAACTAGCAAAATCTTGTATTTTTTAAATAGTTTTTCACGTAACAAATCTGAAAAATACTATTTTTTTGAACGAGTAGACCAGATTCCAGGGCAAGCCGTAGGCCGATTAATGTTGAAGCTTCGGGAACGTGGCTATGTTCACAATATTCTTCACGTTATGACTGAAATAGCACCTGTTCATCAGCATGAAGTTCAACATGCTTCAAAGCTTAGAGCAGCGGTTGTCAACATGTGGTACATGTACCACTGGTGCTACATATCATTTGCGATGCTTCATATTATTTGCGGTGGTACATAAAAACAGTAAAATCAGCACCACATTAAATGAAACAAACAAAAGAACAAAAACTCAAAAAAATGCATGTCACTTCAGCTTGTTAAGTGATACTTCAATTATAAAAAGGATTTTGTAGTACATTACTCAAAAATTTTGAGAACTGCTGGATATGTGACAAATAAGCTGAGATCACATCCTCTGTGGAACTTCCGCATTTCTTGATACTCATCTATTTTCATTTTAAGAACATATCACTTCGTACATATAACCTTTGCTCTTCCAGGTGAATATAATGCTGTAGCAGCTGCATTGAAAATTTCTGTCAGGCACACTTGTTAATTTTATTTAGACGAATAAAACAATACTTTCGTGATAGGAGTTCAAAAGATACGAAGTCTGTTACATTCTTCAAGCAAGTGAGTGTCAAAGGAAATACTATTGGAGGCTTTTCGATATTAACTATCTTGGGACCAAGAATATATTTCGACTCTATACAGGGTATATCTTCATTAGTTAATGCGATCTATTTATGGAGAACTAAGAGTAGAGAGATTCTGAAAATTCATGGGGACGATGAATAAAACATGTGAAATCCAACTAAAATATTTTTGTAATTGTAAAACTCTGGTTTTCCGGAAATGACACTCTGTATTTCGAAACATTTTTGAATTTCTCTCTTGTTTTTGATTCAAGCTATCTCGAAATGGTTCTCAATTCTTTTCGATTGATCACACTGTTCTATTAATGTAAATGTGATGTTTTGTAATATGACACAGAAGGAATGTATCCATTTCAAAAATTCTCCACAAGAACATTTTCACGAATACCCAGACAGCACCAGATATTCCATGAATCTCCCTATCATATTCCTTTTGGAATATTGGAATATTCTAGAAATAATCTGGAATATTCCGGAATATCTGTGGAATATTCTCTAAATATGCGAATGGGAATTCCTCAGATAATCATAGAATATACCCAAAAGAATATTCCATGTTGAATGTTCCTGTGAGAGCATTGTTCGAAATCGGGTCATAAACACTTTTTGTTTCAAAATCCCCTTACATCCAATTGATGTTCGATACTCACATCTCTGAAATAATAAATGGTATTTATGTGTTGAGAAACATAGGAATATTCATGGAATATTTCATGAATATACCGCACAGAATATTCAGTTGGGTATATTTCATGAATATACCGCACAGAATATTCAGTTGGGTATATTTCATGAATATACAACAGAGAATATTCAGTTGGGAATATTCCTGGAAGATTCATACCTGAATATTCCCTGAACATGTCCGACTATTCACTTTGGAATATTCCTTTTAGATGTTCCAGAGGCATGTATATATTCTAGGAATAATCGATGAATATTCGGAATATACTCCTCCTTTTCAGCATATTTAGAGAATATTCTATGAATATCCAGTGCTGTCTGGGTATGTGACCAATAGGAAATTGAAACCATATGAGACTAATCCACCTATCAATACCAGGTGGCTTTCAGGGTCCTATACAAGCTACAATTTGTATTTGTAAATGAAAATGTCGAAGGTCTTCGATCGTTTCTCAATCATTTGAATGATCACACAGACGATTTCTCTCTTTAAAATGAGCAAGTTCGCCGCGTGGTAGAAGCGTTGGTATTCTAATGACGAAAAAACTTGCTGATCGTGAGTTCAAATCCCTGCAGACAGTTTTTAGATGGCCCAAGGAAGTTTTTGGAACTAGACGTTAAAAGGTTAGGTATCTCACTTTTCTGATCTGCAGACTTTTGATTTTTTTTTTCAAGATAAAAAAAATTAATTTCGAAGTATTAAAGAAAATCTGGAAACAAAATTGTTCTTCATCGCCCTCTCACGGCTAAAAGGTGCATTTTCGTATGGAGGTGAGTTGATTTCAATCGGCCTATTGTGGTCTCTAATTCACCATGGTTATGAAAACGAATCATGTCAAGGTGCTATGAAATATTTGGAAGGTGAGAGATCTGAGATATTGCGGTATTAATAATTGAGTGAATAGAATTAAAATACCCAAATCTAATACCAGATATTGGGTTCCCGTTTATAACACATTTTCATACACTCGTTCACTGCTGTTAACCATTATTTATTGTAGTCATCACGAAAAAAGTCATGTGAACTTTGTGAGACCTTATCTCCCATATGTTTATGTCCAACTGCATACGATTTTTAGACTATATTATATAGTTGTTGAGTTGGTAACAATGACAACGATGTAGTTGTTTTCGACCTAATCCAGTGAAGATTTAGGGTGGAAAAACTCTCGAAACAGGAAAATACGTGGTGATAGTTGAAAAAAATATTCTTGTATCGCTTAGAAAAATTGATTCTCCCTCTTTCATTATACATTCTGTATCGTTGCCTATGGTCAACTTTAATATTCAATGCTAGTATACTCACTTCATTTTGCTCTTTAGACCTCTTCATTTTCTGATAATCTTTTTGTTTCCTCCACAATTCCATTCCTTCCTTGACAACTCTTTCTTCAAATGCTCTTCTTTCCATGTCTCTGCTTGTTTGAACTGATTCGTCAACTAACATTTTGATTTACTGCAGATGTGATATTGTAAAATATATTAGTTTCTTTTTCACTATAGTTTCTACTTTCGAATATCAATAAATTGTGTAATGAAGAAATATCATTTAGATATACTTGAAGCTCAAATGGTTTCAATATACAGAGTGTGATCCATAGATCATTTCAAGAAGAAAACTTTATATTATGAACTTCCCAGGCAACCAGATTACGAATGATCACGTCACTGTGATGTCCCTAATTGGTGATTTCCCGTCAGAGACGTCACATACCAATTGATGACATCACTATGACCACAGTTTAAGGAATGGGTATCTATGACGTACTTTTTATGACCTAATTATCTCGACGTCGAGTGAACGTCACCTAGATTGGTAAAATAGGACGTCAGTTCCATGACGTTGCAGTGTTTCTGACGTACCTATATATACAGGATGGGCATTTTCAGTGAAGGAAAGTTTTCAGAAAAAATCGTTTCTCCATTAATTTCACACACATATTGGTTATTTTAGTTATATGCTTACTAGCGTCTTTAGAAGTATAACTCATTGAACCAAATCAACATGCAAGTTCTATTGGAATTATACAGGGTGTCCGCTAAAAGGAGGTCAATCCATTAACCACATATTCCTTGAACAAAAACAATATGAGTTTCTAAATACCAGTTTGATGTAACAATAGCCTCTACATATGTGAGTAACCTTGTTACAGAATGGCATGTGTCAGATGAAGAAAGTTGCTCGGATCACAGACACATACATTTCAAAGTAAAGAGCAACATAATTCAAGAAACTTATCGGAACCCAAGGAAAACGAAATGGGGAGCCTATCAAGCAGACCTATCCCGTAGTCTCTTGGCAACGCAGAGGAAGATAAGTACGAACGAGGACCTTGAGGGGGCTGTGGAGCAATTCAATGACATAGTCACCTCAGCGTTCAATAACAACTGTCCCCTTATCACAAGGAAGGCTGCCAGGAATGTGCCCTGGTGGAGCCACGAACTTGCAAGATTAAGGAAACAAGTGAGAAAGAAATTCAATAGTGCAAAAAAATCAGGAAGGTGGGATGAATACAAGACCGCCTTGGCCGGATACAAAAAAGCGATCAGCAAATCTAAAAGAGACTCCTGGAGAAAGTACTGTGAGGAGATAGAAAGCACTCAGGAATGCGCTAGACTCCAAAGGATACTCTCCAAAGATTCGAAATGTACAATATACTCTCTCAAGAACGAACAAGGAGAGTACACAAATACAGGAAAGGAAACAATAAAAGAACTCTTCAGAGTTCACTTTCCTGGATCTCAAATAGTTCGGACACCTGCTATGGGAAACGAAAACGGACTGGGGGCCCTATTGAGAGGATCCAGGGAAAGTTGGAACATAGCTAAAGAAGTGGTGACCTATGATAAAGTCGAATGGGCAGTTAACTCATTCGAACCCTTTAAATCACCAGGACCAGACGGGATCTACCCAGCGCACTGCTGCAAAAGGGAACAGAACCACTGATAAGGTGGCTCTGCAATATACTAAGAGGAAGTTTAGCTCTTGGATACATACCAAGAATTTGGAGGAAAGTGAGGGTCACCTTCATACCGAAACCTGGAAGAACTGGACAGGAAACGGCGAAGTCCCTCAGACCAATTAGTCTCATGTCATTCACACTGAAGACTTTAGAGAAGCTGGTAGACAGGCACATGAGGGACGGCGCACTGGTAGAAAACCCACTGCACCGAGACCAATATGCCTACAGGACCGGTTGTTCGACAGAAACGACACTCCATAAACTTGTTGAAAGGGTGGAAAACACGCTGGAAAATAAAGAGGTATTATTAGCGGCTTTCTTAGACATAGAAGGAGCCTTTGACAATACCTCAATAAACTCTATAATTAGAGCTCTCAGACAGAGAGGAATCGAGGAACCCTGTGTGGCCTGGATAGACTCAATGTTGAGAAACAGAACGATTTACACCACTGTGATGGGAGAGACCGTAGAGGCCAGGGCGACCAGAGGATGCCCGCATGGAGGAGTACTCTCCCCACTTCTGTGGAATCTGGTTATGGACGGGCTACTGAGGGTACTCAATGACAGTGGACATAGAGTCCTTGGATACGCAGACGACATAGTAGTCTTGGCACAAGGAAAGTATAATACCACAGTCAGAGATCGTATGATACAGGCTCTAGAACTGGTAACGGAATGGACGGATCAAGAAGGGCTGAATATCAGTCCTCACAAGGCCACCATGATAGCATTCACACGAAGACATAAACTAGAGGGATTAGGTCCTCTTAAACTTCGAGGCGAAACAATCCAGTTGAAAGAGGAGGTCGGGGTGATATTAGATCCGAAACTGACTTGGAACCAACAACTGGAAAAGACAACCAAAAAAGCGGTAACGTCACTGATGATGACCAGACGCTCTTGTGGGAAGAAATGGGGACTGAAACCAAACATGCTGTACTGGTTGTACAACAGGGTGGTGATGCTTTCCATAACATATGCCTCTCTGGTATGGTGGAAGAAGACACTACAAAGAGGAGCTATAACAAGACTGAGCAAGATACAAAGACTTGCATGTCTAGGAATCACGGGGGCTATGAAGTCAACGCCAACCGCAGCCATGGAAACACTACTGGATCTGCCTCCCCTCCATTTGATGGTACAGGGGGAGGCGAGACTTGGTGCCCTAAGACTGCAAAATACACTGGGCAATGTTAACATAGGAACAGGACATATGAGCATCGTCAGAATAGTGAACAGGGACATACTTAATATGAGAACAGATCACATTTCGAAACGATATATATTTGACACTTCATTCAGAGTGTCCATACCAGACAGATCTGAATGGAATGACGGAGAACTCAGCACCATACTGCAGGGAAAGATCTGGTATACAGACGGGTCCAAGACTGCGAATGGGTCAGGAGCAGGAGTATACTCCAAACATCCGGAAACTAGCCTCAGCTACTCATTGGGGAAGTACGCTTCAGTTTTCCAAGCAGAGGTGTACGCAATTCTCCAATGTGCGGAAGAAAATAACAGGAGAGCTGTGGAAAACGAGCAGATCCGTATTATGTCAGACAGTCAAGCGGCACTTAAGGCAATAGAAAGCCAGGAAGTGACATCTCGACTGGTATGGGATTGCAAGAGGGAACTGAGAACTTTGGCAGACCGGAACTGCGTCAAGCTAATCTGGGTGCCAGGTCATCAGGGGATCGCTGGCAATGAAAAGGCTGACGAACTCGCAAGAAGAGGGTCGGACAACGAGCCAGATCCAGGACAGACTCTTGGAGTACCAAAACGTACAGCACGAGGGTCAGTTAAAGACTGGATTCAGGCAAAACACAAGAGCTACTGGGAAAACATCTCAAGAAACAGACATGGGAAACAATACATTAAGGAACCAAGTAATAAACGAACTGTAGACCTGCTCAACTTGAACAGAGCACAGATAAAAACTGTTACGGGACTCATGACTGGCCACGCGCCAGTAAAGGAGCATCTCACCAGAATGGGACTGTACAATGGCGACCCAAGCTGCAGATTATGTGGCAAGGAACCAGAAACAGTAGCACATATACTGTGCCGATGTGAGGCATTGGACCGCAGAAGACAGAAGATCTTTGGGCAACCAGTTGGCGAACCATAAATATTCAACTCACATCCAGTGAAGGATTTGTTCAGACTTGTTCAAGGTACAGAGATAATGGAGTGGGCACAATAAAGAACATTAGGTAAGATACAATGGGCCACCATAGGCCTAAGTGTCGTCGGAGACATGGTCAGACGAGCCTACAAACGGGGTGGAGTTTTTAGTGGGTAAACCCTGGCTAGAGTCAGGGGAGTCCCACACTACCATATGGGGGATAGGACCCATATGGTGTCCATAAAGGATTTAAACCACCTCGACAAAAAAAAAAAAAAAAAAAAAATACCAGTTTTCATTTTAGCCGAGATTTTAGCCCATCATAATCGATATACAGGGTGTCAAAGTTGGAAATTAAAAACTGTTTTTTTTAATTACTCGCGTATTTGATAAGATATTGATCTCAAAATTGGTACATTACTTCAGCACAAAGAGTTACATCGTGTGAGGAAAACATAACAGAAAATAACTGTCAAATATTCAAAATACTGGGGGTCAAGTACACACTTACTCCCATATTTTTTTTGTACGTGCGCTAATGACTTCCTATCTATTTTCCTTCAAGTGTTCAATCATTTTTGAGTAATTTGTGTCTCTCGTAAAATTTCGATTAAATTATTTGTTTTTAAGATAATTCGAAAAGTACTGGTTATTGTTTGATGCCAATGCGGCTTACGGTAATCTCATAATGTTCACATACTCCTATTTATTTCGTCGAAATTGGAAGAGGGCGTAAGGTAAATATGGAAATACCGGGTGCTCAGAGCGAATGTATTAAAATAATTTTTACAATTTTTCAATTTTTTTTTTCTTTCTGTAAAAATTATTTTAGTACATTTGCTCTGAGCACCCGGTATTTCCATATTTACCTTTTCGTACGTAGAAAGATACGCCCTCTTTCAATTTCGACGAAATAAATAGGAGTATGTGAACATTATGAGATTACCGTAAGCCGCGAGGCATGAAACAATAACCAGTACTTTTCGAATTATCTTAAAAACAAATAATTTTATCGGAATTTTACAGAAATCTAAAAATACTCAAAAATGATTGTACACTTGAAGAAAAATAGATAAGAAGTCATTAGCGCACGAACAAGAAAAATATGGGGGTAAGTGTGTACTTGACCCCCAGTATTTTGACAGTTATTTTCTGTTTTGTCTTCCTCACACGATGTAACTCTTTGTGCTGAAGTAATGTACTAATTTTGAGATTAATATCTTATTAATTACGCGAGTAATTAGAAAAAAAACAGTTTTTAATTTCCAACTTTGACACCCTGTATATCGAATATGAAGGGCTGAAATGAAAAATGGTATTTAAAAACTCATATTATTTTTGTTCAAGGAATATATGGTTAATGGA